CTCTGCGCAGTGACACACAGCTTGCTCACTCGTCGAGCATGTCCTTCACATCATGCATGCAGGTCGCACTGCTTCTGATTTTCCAAATCGTGTTCCGCCCGTTCACGGGCCAACCTGTTCGTTTGACTGGGCCTCTGCTGCCGCTCGTAGCTGTGACGGCCAGATGCTTCTTCGAACTTCAGGCAGCAAGGAACGATAACGAAGGCCTTGTGTCCTTCGGAGGCCCTCGCCATGGCCACGGCTGAAGGTCCAGGCTGAAAGATAGAGGTTCCAGGATTCCTTCCCTTCGGAGCCATTCTGGTCGCGCGGCCGGGCGCACCGCGGTGAACTGATCAGCGTGGACCCACGGAAACGAAGGCCATAGATGCGAAGTGACAGCCCCGAATCGGTGACCCCAAACTGCCTGGTCGAACCTCGAGCCTCGCGGATCGAGATTCAACGCTTCCTGTGCTTCGGTGGCCCTCGCCATCGGCGCGGAAAACTTGACGCTCTGGCCCCCCCCCGGGAAGGTCCAGACGCTCCCGCTCCCATGCTCGCATCCTCCACCTTCTCCTCCACATCCTCCTAAGGAGCCCCTGAAGTCGATCCCTGGAGGTCCCTGGTGGTCATCCGTTCTCCTCCTCCTGCTCCTCCTCCTCCTCCAAATTCTCTCTCTCTCCTCCCCTTCCTCTCTCCTCCCGCTTCCCTCCTGCCTCCTCCGTCCTCCTGTGTCTTCCTCCCTGCTCATCCTTCTCCTGCTCGTGCTCGCCTTCGTGCTAATCCTCGTTTTCATCCTCGTCCTCGCCCGGTACCCGGCGCGCCCAGCTTATCGCTGGAAATGGTCCGTGGGTGCGCTGGGGGCCCGCGGGGCGGTTTTTGCGAGGATGCTAATCGGGGCCGACTGTAAGTTCCACAGAAACTCCCTCAATTTACCTGCGGTGCGAAACCACACGGCGGCCATAATGTGATGGCCACTAATGGGATACGGCTGCGGAGGGCCGCCGTGCCCGGGTGCGGAGGGCGAACACATGCGGCCGCTGGAGTGACCCAGACCTCCGACGTCGTGATGTTTTGGTGCGTGGGCCTCCGAAGGTATCGACCCCATCACCAAACTGGTCTGTGTCGAATGCTCCAGGAGGGACGCGAAGCGTGCATGTGAGAACCCAAACGTTGCGTCGCTTCTGGGGCTGGCGCGGACGCCGGTTGGACCGACAAGGCCTCCCATCACGTCGTCATCGTCCTCGTCGTCGCCGGGTCCGTAGCCATTTTGGCTCAAGATGTTTTCCTGGGGGGCTGTTCAGCCTCCAGGCAGCAAGGATACCGCTAGTCCGCGGCCAGTCTCGTCACCTCGGCCTGGTCCTCCCCAGGTCTGGACCTCCGTGCCAGCGCGCGGAGGCGGTGAGCTCCTGCAGGAGCATACTCGCCGATGGCGCCGCCGCCGCCCGTGCACCAGCGCAAGTGGTTCTGCAAGCACTGCGTGCACGAGCGCACTGGGAAGCCATTCCTCAACTTCGCCGAGAACAAGCAGTGCCACCAGTGCAAGCGCTCGAAGGGCCAGTGCTTCAACGGCTACGTGGCGCTCAAGGAGCCGTCGACGTCCACGCGTCAGCGGACTGGTTCGGGCAAGGGTTCCGAGCCGCCGTGGTCGTCGGCCGAGGTGCAGAAGCTCTCGGCCCAGGTCAAGCAGCTGCAAGAGCAGCTCAAGCAGGCCCGCAAGCCGCCGGACACCGTCATCATCGACGCGGACGGCGAGGGGGCGCCCGACTTGCGGGCCACTCGGGTCCGCCTCGCCGAGGTCGAGAAGGAACTGGCTGCCGCCAGGAGCTTCTCGGGGGCCGCGTGGGAGAGCCTGGCCAAACAGCTGGCGACTGAGCAATCGCAGCTGCAACAGGAGCTGCTGGCGGCCAGGCCTCAGAGCCAGCAGATGCGCATCCTCCTTCGCCAGATTGAGGGGGCCGAGCGAGGCCTTCAGAAAAGCCGCGATTCTCTCGAAGCCTCGCAGCGGAAGGTCGTGGAGATGCAGGCGGCCATCCAGAAGGAGAAGGCTGCCATCGTGCAGCAGGAGGCCGAGTTGGCGGACTTCCGGCGTCAGCAGGTGCTGCTGGTGGCCGCGTCGCCGCAGCCCGCGTCAATGGATGAGTGCCCGACGCCTCCCCAGGCAGTCCCCGTCCTTCAGCTTGACACGGACAAGCTTGCGGCGGTGCTTGACGGGCTCGGCGTCCAGGTGCCTGACCAGACATCCATGGTGCAGAGTCTGGCGCAGCAGCTGCCCCAGTGCACGGCCCAGCGGATGGTGCAGCTGGTGCCCAGCAGCGCCCCTGGGGGCGGCGGCGGAGGGGCAGGCTCGGCGGCTGCCGGCCCGCCGCCAGTCCCTGCTGCCCCGGCCATCTGGTCTGACGTCGGCGAGATGCGGCAGCGGCTCGCCGAGGCTGGGGTCCAGGTCCCCGAGTCCGACGAGGGCGTGCAGCTGGCCTTTGAGAGGTTCAGGGCCGCTGCGGTTACGACCATGTCCAAGGGAGCTGGTAAGGGGCCTGCGGGTGCCGCTCCTTTCTAGCTTGATGCGCCTCGTCGTCATGATGGCTACGGTCTTTCCGATTCTCGGCAGCAGCCCAGCGGCTGCGAGCACCTTCCCAGCAGTTGACGGTGCACCAGATCAGATGGCGCGCAGTCTGATGGGCTCTGCCGCGTCGTCGCCGTTTGTCTACTTCGTGCGCCGCTCTGACCTGCAGGTGGTCGGGCTCGATCGGAGCCCCGATGTCAGCTGGGTGTGGCTGCACGGCTCCTGGTGCTCGGCGGCGGCTTGCCCGGCAGCCCCGCCGGAAGCGGCCCGCCGGGCGGCCTTGGCAGTGCTGCCCGGCGGCTCTGGCGGCCTCCCCAGCGAGCCGGAGCGCCCTCGGGAGCCGCCGTCGTCCTCAGTTTTAACCCTCACTTTTTCTGCAGGCGCCCCCGGAGGCGGCGCCGCGGCCGGTGACCTTCTCGGCGCTGCCGAGGGGCCTCCAGGGTCACCGAGAGCCGGCGTGCTGCCGGGCGCTGGGCCTGGGCCCGGGCGCGCAGAGGCGCCCGCCAGGGCGCGGGCTGTGTCTGCGGCGGCGCCTGCGGCCCCCGGAGCGGTGGCGGTCGAGGCGTCGGTCCCCGCTCCCCCATCGCAGCTGGATGGAAGCGCCGCTTCGGCGGCCCCGTTGCTGCTGGAGCTGGACTCGTTGGTGCCAGCTACTCGGCCCCTGTCGTTGGACGCCCTGACCGTCGGCACAGTCAATGGCGACACTTGGGCGGGGGCCAGGGCGGTGGGGGAATGGCTGCAGGCCAGAGGGAGGCGGCCCGACATCCTGTTCGTCCAGGAGACCAGGTTTTTCGACGCGGAGGCCGTCGGCTCCGCTCACCAATGGTGCGCCAGGCAGGGTATGCAGCTCGCCCAGGGGCCTGTTCAGCGCACTGGGGCTGGCCGCATGGCGGTCTCAGGCGGAGTCGGCATTGCGGTGGCCAATTCAATCGCATTGGGCCAAGCCGTTGCGATTGACGACGTCTGGGCCCATCGGGTGATTGTGAGGCGAGCGCACCTTGGTAACGGCGCTACCTTGCTCCTGCTGTCCCTCTACCTCGTCACGTCCATCGGCCTGGCGGGGGAGAACATGGACATCTTGGAGTACGTGAGTGGCCTCGTCGGGCAGTTCAGCGAGCCGTTCCTGATCGGTGCCGACTGGAATGTGGAGCCGGAGGTCCTCTTGGCATCCAGGTGGGTGGACCAAATTGGCGGAGTGCTGCTGGCCTCAGATTCGCCCACGTGCGGGGCTTCGGAGTACGACTACTTCGTGGCCTCGTCTTTCCTCTCGCACAGGGCCGAGGAGCCAGCTGCCTGCTTCGACACGCCAGTGGGGACACACAGCTGCGTTTTGATGCGCTTGCAGAACTTCTGGACGGCCCCCATGGTGTGGGTCGAGGACCCTCGGAGGGCGTTTTGCCTGCCCAAGACGAGGGAGGCCTTCCTGAAGCTGCAGGCGCCGGCTGAGGCTCTTGAGGCCGAGACGGCCGAGCTAGCGGAGCCGCTGCTCGACCTAGGTATGGCGTGCAGCAGGTGGTTCGATTTGGCCGAGCGGCATTTGGTGAAGAAGCTGGAAGTCGACTCTGCCAGCATACGGCACTACTTGGGCCGCGGCAGAGGCATCAAGATGGTGCAGCGGCCGTTCAGCGAGCTGCACGTGGCCAGGCAGAGGAAGCTCGACACCTCGGGCACCGAGGCCTGGGCCGGCTTTCAACGCTGCTGGCGGGCGTTGCGGCGCTGGGGTCAAGCGAAGCCCGGGTCTCGTGCCCGCCGACAGGTGCTGCACGACCGGCTGGTCGAGCAGGCCTCGGCGCTCGAGCTGCCGCCGGCGATCTCCGAGGCACCAGCCTTGGTCCGCGGCACCCGCTTGCAATGGCTTGGGCTGGCCAGCCGGGACAGCCCGCTGGCCAACTGGTTCGACGGGCTGCTTGATGATGAAGTTGGACAGCGGCGCAGGGCTGACGCAGCGCAGCGGGCCAAAGATTGGCGCGCATTCTGCGCGGAGTCATTGGACGGCCCTGGCCGAGTGGCCCATCGCCTCATCAAGCAGAAGCGCGGCGAATCGCAGGCGGTTGAGGAGCCCGGCGACCCTCGACATTTGCCGCAAGTCGGCTCGGCGGCGGCGGAGGCCATCTTAAACGAGTGGCTCAGCTTGTGGATCAAACCGTCCAGAGAGTCGGAGGAGGCGGCGAGCCAGTGGCAAGTCCACGCAAGCCTCCCGCCGATCACCACGGATCAGGTGAGGGACGTGGCTCGGCGTTTCCCGCTGCAGACGGGGCTCGGCTGGGACAACTTCCACCCTCGGTCGCTCCTCCTCCTCAGCGAGGCGCTGCTGGAGCGCTTCGTGGCCATCTTGAACCGCTGGGAGCAGTCCCCCGTCATGGTCGACCTGTGGCTCACGATCATGGTCTTCTTGCCGAAGCCGCCGCCCCAGTTGGGGCGGCGCCCCATCGGCCTCCTGTGCATGTGGGGCCGGGTGTGGTCGAGGATCAGGCAGAGGGAGGTTCGCCGCTGGGAGATCAGCGTGGACGAAGCCTTCTTCTGGGGCAAATCCGGCGACACGGCGGCGGATCGGGCGGCGTACGTGCACAACCTCCTCGTGGTGCATGCGCGTCGGCACGGCATGGTGAGTGGCTCTGTCTTTTTTGATTTGTCTCGTTTTTACGAAAATGTGTCGCACATGGCCATGAAGCAGGCAGCAGTTCATTACTCGTTTGATCTCGGCCTGCTCCGGTCGCTTTGCGCGCTCTACCGCGGGCCTCGCCGAGTACGATGGATGTCGGCAACGTCGCGTGCTATTGTGCCAAATGGAACCGTAGTTGCAGGATGTTCTTGTGCGACGGGGGTTGTGAAATTGCTCACCCTCTGCGTTTTGAAAGCTGTGGCGTTGGAGACGCCAGTATGTCGCCCCATCAATCTCGTTGATGATGTTAAGTTGCACGCAGTAGGGGGCGTACGAACGGTCGCAGCGCAACTAGTCAAAGCCGTCAACTTGGTCTTAGCAGCCATGCAGCAGCTAGAGCTGCCAGTCAATACGTCCAAAACTTGTTTTATGGTCTCGGACAACGCGCTGCTCGACCTCTTGCTTAATGACCCCGAGTGGCCGCTAGACGTTTCACTGTTGTCCGAGACCCATCGGGACCTTGGGGGGGACTCGTTGGACGGCTCTCGGCGCAGGATCCCGATTCAGTCAGCGCGTTTTTCGGAGGCTCTGGCATCAGCGAGCCGGCTTCGGAATTTAGGCCGAGGCAAGAACGCGTTCCGCGTCTTCAGGGCGGGCCCCGCGGCCAAAGCATGCTGGGGAGCGCCCGTCTTGGGGGTCAGCAACTCGGCTTTGCGAGGGCTTCGAGTTGCAGCAGCTCGTAGCCATGGGCCGCTCCAGCCTGGCTCATCTCTCGGCTTCTCGCTGCTCTTCAGCTCGTCGTGGACGAGCGACCCTCTTGTACATCTCACCGTCGCCGCGGTAAAAACATTCGTATCGGTCTGGTGGCACCGGTCGGTCTCCCGGCCCGTGTTCGCCTCTGCGGCGGAAGACGCCCGTGAGATTCTCGGGACAAAGAGGCCATGGAGTGCGGTGAAGCAGCCAATTGCCGCCCTCATCCTGACCCTGCGTAGGATAGGATGGGACCTAGACCTCGATCGAGACAGCCTGGTGGACCACCGTGGAGTGGCTTGGTCTTTGGCTCGTTTCTCGCCTGAGTTTTTCGCCATGCTTTGTCGGCGGGCGTGCTGGGATGCGATTGTGGCCGAGGAGCAGAGTCGTCAGTCGTCGTTCGTGGGTGAATGGTCTGGCCCGATCTGCTCCCGCCCTGCCCAGGACCTTCTGGCTGCCAGAGCGTCTGAGGGCTGGACGACTCACCACCAGCGCGTGCTCAGAGGGCTGCTGGCGAACAGGTATTGGTGCCAGCAGCGTTTCGCCGAGAAGTGCGAAGATATCCGCCCTGAATGCCTCCGCTGTGGGGAGCCTGGGTCCATGTTTCATCGCCGGTTTGCTTGCCCCGCTCACTCGGCTTGGAGGAGAGAAGAGCTCCCGTGCGAAGTCAGGGAGGCGGCACGGTTCGTGTCTTGTCTTTCGGGTCGGGCCCAGGAGTTGTTCTCCAGGGCGGTTTTCCCTGACCCCTCGGCCTGGTTCGGGCGCAAGGCCCCCGACCCCACCTCATGTTACATGCATCGCTTTAATTGGCCGGCCGATGGACTGATGATCGGGTCTGGCATGCATGTTTTCACCGACGGCTCGGCCTTCGAGGGCCATCTGCCGTCCCTGGGAGTGGCGGGATGGGCGGTCGTGGTTACGGACGGGGAGGGGGTCGTCCAGTCGTACATCTGGGGGGTAGTGCCATTTTCGGAGGCACCCCTCCAGGCTGCGAGAGACGGCGAGGACTTCGCCGTCCTCCAGCTGGTGCTCAATGCTGTGCTGTGCCCAGGCTCCAGCCTGCACATTGATTGTGCGGGCACGGTGGATTGCGCTAGGGATCCGAGGTCGGCCGCAGGGCCGGACAGCATGAGGGCCCACTGGTGGGCACAGGTGCATGATAAACTTGATGATTGCAGTGTTTGTAAGGTCCCTTCCCATTGCACAGAGAGGGACGTGATCGATGGCCGCCTGACGCGTGTTCAGTGGTTGGGCAACCGTGCGGCTGACTTGTATGCGCGCCAGGGGGCAGAGATGTATCGCAGTGATTACTGCGATCGCCTTGTCATCATCGGATGTCATGAGATTGCACGGCTTGTCTCTCGGTATTCGGCGCGTCAGGAGGCGATGATTGCTGATGCCGCCGTCTTCGACCATGTCCCACTCGATTGGCTGCGCCACGTCGATCTCGGCAGTTTTCAGGTTCCAGCCGACGCCGATGATGGCGGCGAGGATGAGGGGGCTGGGGTCGTCGAGCCTGGGTCGTCCGTCGTGGGAGGGGAGCGCGCGGAAGTTGGCGGCGAAGCGAGGGATGAAGGCGAGGCGCTGCCCTCCCCCGCCCCCCCGCCGCCGCCTGGGGAAGAGGCGTGGGCCCTTCTCAGGCCCTGGAAGGCCCGTGGCCATTCGTGCATCGAGGCTCCCGTGTCCTCCACAGGCGGAGCTCCTATGGATACTTTGGTGTTTTGCACCACCTGTGGATCTGTTGGCCATCCTGGGAGGTCCTGGGGACGGAGCTCTCTCGTGTCGGATTGCTCGGGGTCCCGTTCCGATGGCCGCGAGAGGCAATTGGCTTGGATTTTGCGTGGTAAGCATCCGTCCCGCAAGGACGGTCGCGTCGGAGCGGCGACATCGCTCTCCGACGCCTCGCGCACCTTCCTGGCATCGAAGCTGGGCCTCGCAGATGTGCCAGCTCTTGGACCCGGCCCAGCTGTTGAGCGGGTCGGCGTCGACCTCGTCCGAGGCCTTGCGCTATTTGGATTCTCCTCTCGCGCCCAAGCTGAGGAGTTAGGGCAGCGAGTCCTTGACCGGAGAAAGCGCGAGGTGGCGGATTTCTCGGACGAAGGCTAACCTGTTTGTTTTTGTTTTGATGCATGCTAATGCGATGACTTCGTTAGTCGGTGTGGTGCTCGTCGTCGCCGGCGTCGCAGTCGTCGCAGTCGTCGTTGTCGTCGTCCTCCTCCGCCTCCGCCTCCGCCTCCGCCTCCGCCTTCGCCTCCGCTTCCTCCTCCTCCTCCTCCTCCTCCTCCTCATCCTCCTCCTCCTCCTCCTCCCCCACACGTCATCGTCGTCGCCGCCGTAAGTGCCCTAAGAGATCCCCAAGATAGTTCCTGGAGAGCTCCGCGAGGCTCCGAAAGGTTCCCATGCTTACCATTGTTGGGGTTGCTCGGGCTAGGCTGCAAATGTGTTCCCCCCTTGTCTCACTGTTTCACTGTACGCTTGTCTACTCCTCTTCTCCCGACAATTTGCCTGGGGATACGCCTGCGCATGCGTGTGCGAACGCAATTTTTAACGAGTCTTGTTCCATCGAATGGTGACACCGTCTTTCCAATAGTTGCCCTTATTTCTCTGCCCCGAAATTTCAGGGCTGAACGTGAGGCAGTCAACGATACCTGTGAGAGCCGCGGTCGCCTTGGAGCACTGCTCGTCATTCTGGCAGCAATAATTGTGGCCGTCCACGGAGATATACGGGATTGGGATGTTGTGTCGTGCAGCGGCCAGGAGATATGCACCCTTGGTAAAGCGAGACCCCATGTGCCCCACAAACACGTCGCCGTGGCTCAGAAGCCAGGCGTCTGCGGCCGCCGTCTCCCCCAAAAACCCGTTCGTCGACTCGTTCTGCCCCTCAACGCTGCCTACATACTTCAAGGCCGCCCGGGAGAAGTTCAGGTGATACCAAGCGGTGCCTTCGTAGAAGTCGCTGTCAAGCTGTCGAATCTCATCTAAGATCGATTTACCGTCGTCCGAGGCTACATAGACCGAAAGCGGACGACCGTACAAATTCCGGATGCGGTGCAGGGCGTTTACGTAGACTTTGGTGTGGTAACACAACCGGACGTTCGTCATCTGGGCGTGCTCATCGATGGGCGAAGCGTGCTCCAGGTAGCCTTTGCTGACCAGCCCACTGCACGCATCCGCGCGCCGTATGTGCAAGCTAACTCTCAGCTTGCCCACGCCGGGATTTATGATTGCAAGATGCTGCTCAAACGATGCTGTCAAGCTCGGTTGACGGTTGAAGTGGATCAGTGCAATATGTGACAACGTCAGCAAGTACGAGTCAGCGAAGGAGTCCACATTAGCGGACGACGACGCCTGCGTGCGAAACCGTTCCAGATCCGCGCTGATGTTCTGAATATCTGAGAGGTTGGCTTTGGATCCGACATGAGCCAAAGCGTCTTCTTCAATGCTGCCGAGCTCCTCGTCCAAGAAGAAATCTTTCCAAAAACATGTTGAACCGCTTAAGTTGTTGTCTAGGCAGTATTGAAACCGAGATGGATCAATGAATTTTTTGTAAGTTTGCGTACCCATGGAGGAGGCCAATACGCCGTCCTTCACCCACTGCCTCCAATCCTTGATCGGTCCATACGTAATTTGCTTCCCCAACGGAAAAAAAGGGGGCATGCTGATCTGATCCTGACCTGAGCGTATGTGCCCGCTCCTCTTGATGTAAGTAGCCTTCAGAGCTTTGCGAATCTTCACTCCCAGTGCGATGTGCTCATTTGCTTCTTTCATTGTCGAATCGAAGCACTCAGTGGCAGGAAGACACTCCAACTCCCGCAAGTCACACGCGCAGCTGCCGTAGAGCACCTCGTACTGACTTTTCGGTAACCTTGAAGCAGTGGCCTTCGCTGCGAGCTTCCGCCAGAAGAACAAACAAAAGCGTAAGCGCCAACTTTCGGAGGTCTGCGCGGATTTCCCGAGCCGGCGCTGGAGCCCCCCGCCCACATAGTTACCAGAAGCCTCCTAGATGGGGTCGGAAGATCGCGCCGCATCGCCAATACATTGCAGATGCATTGGCGATGCATCGGAGACGTCGGCGATGCATCGGCGCGGACGGCGTGCAGCAACTCTGGCGCCATATCGAGCGGCGTCGTCGATGCATCGTCGACGCGGAGCGATCCTTCGACCTCATCTGCTCGTTCCCCGATTGAGCGACGATCAGAAACGGGTCTTACGCGAGATGACAAAGCGATCACGCGGTGGCTCACGCGGACCGCCAGCGCGGCACGCCAGTGGAGACGAGGGCGCTTACGCGCGGCCCTACGCGGGCAGCTTACGCGTCAGTGTCGGCGCAGAAGACCTCGTTTTACGCTGAATTGGGAGGCCTAGGCACGCCCTCTCCGTCGCGTGGGCGCGCCGCGGGCGGTGCAGGGGGAGAGGAGGGCCCACCGCCGGCCCGAGAAGTTCGCGCAGAGCCCCGAAAGCCCGGCGTTCACGCAGTCCCTTGCCCTCTGGGCTGCGTGCCCGCCCCCGCCGCCTGGGCGGCGCCAGCCTGGGCAGCGCCAGAGTGGGCGGCGCCGGCCTGGGCGGCCTGTGCCTTCGGCTTCAGCGCCGCCTCTCTTCCGATCAGGCCGCCCGCCACGCAGACGCAGGTCAGCAGCAAACACCTGGTGGCCGCCTGCCCTCGCGCGGGTGGCGCGCTGGAGCTCGCCGCCAGGGCGCCGCCGCTGCCGTCGACGATCAGGGGACGTCATCCATCCGCCTCACCGATCCTGGACAACATCGGTGTGTGTATGTGTGCTGTGCTGTGTTGTGTGTTGTGTGTTGTGTGTTGTGTGGTATGTGGTATGTGTTGTGTTATCTGTCTTGCGTGCTGTGTGCTCTGTGCTGTGTGTTGTGTGTTGTGTGTGTGCTGTGCGTTGATTGTTGTGTGTTCTGTGTTGTGTGCTGTGTCAGTGCGGATGTGTGCGGGCGTGCGTGTGCGTGTGTCTGTGTCTGTGTGTCTGTGTGTGCGCTCCGCGGCCGCCGCTTCTCATGGACCTTCTGTCCCGCGCCGCCTGCCGCTCGCTTGAGCTAGACGGTGGCCGCCGCGACACCGGGCGCGTGGCCGTCGAGGTCAAGATTGTGCGTGCGCTCTGCTGGTCTGGCCGGGCAGGCACACGGACGCACGTACAGACGTGTACGATAAAGCGATATCCAACAATCAAAGGGGGAGAGGAGGGCGAAAGGGGGAGCCCCCCCGCCCCCCCCGTGCACGGAAAAAGGCCGGGGGGGGGGGGCGCGCCTGGCACTCCAAGCTCCGCCCATCCCGTGCGCAAAGGGGCCGTCCCTGGGGGGCTGCGATCTGCGAAATTGTCCCCACTTTCGAGGGCTGCTGGTGGGTCCAGCTGAGTGAGGCACCGCGCAGACCTGAGGTAGACCTCGCCGTCCCTGGGGGGCGGGGGGGGGGCTGCGATCTGCGAAACTGTCGCCATTTTTGAAGGCTGCTGGTGGGCACAACGGAGTGAGGCACCGCGCAAACCTGAGGTGTGTGGGGAGGGGGGGGGGGGGGGGCGATCTGCGAGACTGTCGCCAATTTCGAGGGCTCCTGGTGGGCACAGCGGAGTGAGGCACCGCGCAGACCCGAGTTAAACCTCGCCGTCACTGGGGGGCTGCGATCTACAACATGTTGTCCGCTTTCGAAGGCGGCTGCTGGGGGGTCCAGCGGAGTGAGGCACCGCACAGATCTGAGGTAGACCTCGCCGTCCCTCGGGGGGCTGCGATCTGCGAAATTGTCGCCACTTTCGAGAGCTGTTGGTGGGTCCAGCGGAGTGAGGCACCGCGCAGACATGAGGTAGACTTCACCGTCCTTGGGGGGCTGCGATCTGTCGCCACGTTCGAGGGCTGCTGGTGGGCAGCGGAGTGAGGCACCGCGCAGACCTGACGTAGACCTCGACTTCCTTGGAGGGCTGTGATCTGCGAAACTGCCGCTATTTTCGAGGGTTGCTGGTGGGTCCAGCGTCAAGTTAAGCTCTAACATCTTATGTTAGATCTGAATTTGAGCTCTAACAACCCACGTTAGATCTCGCTATGAGCTCTAACATCTAACATGGGATGTCAGAGCTCAAATAGAAATCTAAAATGGGACGTTAGAGCTCAAATTGACGCTGGACCCACCAGAAGCCCTCGAAAGTGGCGACAATTTCGCAAATCGCAGCCCCCCCAGGGACGGCGAGGTCTACCTCAGGTCTGCGCGGTGCCTCACGCCGCTGGGCCTACCAGCAGCCATCGAAAGTGGCGACAATTTCGCAGATCGCAGCCCCCCAGGAACGGCGAGGTCTACCTCAGGTCTGCGCGGTGCCTCACTCCGCTGGACCCACCAGCAGCCTTCGAAAGCGGACAACATGTTGTAGATCGCAGCCCCCCAGTGACGGCGAGGTCTACCTCAGGTCTGCGCGGTGCCTCATGGGCCCGCCAGCAGCCCTCGAAAGTGGCGACAATTTCGCAAATCGCAGCCCCCCCAGGGACGGCGAGGTCTACCTTAGGTCTGCGCGGTGCCTCACGCCGCTGGGCCTACCAGCAGCCATCGAAAGTGGCGACAGATTCGCAGATCGCAGCCCCCCAGGGACGGCGAGGTCTACCTCAGGTCTGCGCGGTGCCTCACTCTGCTGGGCCCGCCAGCAGCCCTCGAGAGTGGCGACAATTTCGCAGATCGCAGCCCCCAGGGACGGCGAGGTTTACCTTAGGTCTGCGCGGTGCCTCGCAACGCTGGAGCCGTCCCGCGCGCAAGGCCCCCCCCCACCCCGGCACTGCACTGCCCGTCCCGGCGTTAAGGGGGGTGCCCTCCCCGACGGCCCCTCCCCCCCCCCGGCACTCCAAGCTCAGCCCGTCCCGCGCGCACAAGCCCCCCCCCTCCTAGGCGACCATGACCGGACGCCGAGACAACCTCTTCGGCGACGGCTCTGGGCCTACGTGAAGCTCAGCGGATGGCTCAGGCGCAACTGCCCAGACCACCATAGACAAAAGATCAGGGCATGTCTTCTCACAAAGCGGTTAAGATTCTCCTCCCCTCTGTTCCCCCTCACTCTCCAAGCTCAGCCCCACCCTTCCCGCGCGCAAGCTTTCCCTCCCCCCGGGCACTCCAAGATCTGGCCCCACGTTCCACGCGAAGGGGAGAGCCCCCCCCCCCTGGCGCTCCAGGCTCTGCCCCCCGTCCAGCGCGCAAGGGGGCCTGGAAAAACAAAGAACCGTTCTGAAGGCCAAGACTTGTCTTCGCAGATGGCGCGCCAAACTCTGCCCCCGTCCCGCGCGCAAGGAAGGGCCTCCCCCTCCCCCGGCACTCCAAGCTACGCCGCCCGTCCCGCGCACAAGGGAACCTGGGAAAACAAGCACCCGTTCTCAAGGACAAGACTTGCTTTGGCAACAAAAAACCCAACAAAAGAAGCTCCAAGCTCTGGCCCCCGTCCCGCGCGCAAGGGAGCCCCCCCCTTTCCCCCCCCCAGCACTCCAAGCTCTGACCTCCGCCCCGCGCGCAAGGGCGGAGCCCGCCCCCGCCCGGCAACTCCAGTCTCTATTCCCCCGTCCAGTCCACAGGGGAGGCCCCCCCCCGTTGGCACTCCACTGTCCGTCTCCCGGTCCCGCGCACGGGAGGTTCCCCTCCGGCACTCCCGTTTCTCTCTCTCTCTCTCTCTCCCTCTCTCCCTCTCTCTCTCTCTCTCTCCCATCCCGGGCACTGGGGGGGGGCCTCCTCCCCCCCTTTTCACAAGCGTCGCGGCGCGTACCTGCGGCAAACGATGGGGCGGGAGCACCAGACCCAATTCATGACGTTCGGCGGCGCCGCCGGCGACGGCGACGGCGACGGCGACGGCGACGGCGACGACAAAGAGACGGCGACGACGACGACGACGACGACGACGACGACGACGAGGGACGGGAACAGGGAGGCAGCGACGATTGCACTAACAACTTAACACTAACACCATCGCCCAAACCCCCTATCACCATAACCGAAAACGACAACTGAACCCCAACACCCTAACCCCAGTACCATATCGCTAACCCGAGCGCCAGCCGTGACACCCTAACCCTGACATCCTGACATCTTCACCCGAACATCCCCAACATAACATACGAGCCTTAACACCCACACCCTATACCTACACCAAGCACCCGTACGAAACGCCTCAAGCAAACCCCCGACACCCTGACACTAGCCTCCTATCCCCGACACGTTTGACCTCGCACCCAAATCCTAACCAACTAGCCCTAACACCCCAACTCTAATCAGAACGCCCTAACACTAACACCCGAAACCGAACACCGCATCTTAACCTCACACCCTAGCCCTGACCAAAACCCGAACAAAACAAACTAAAACTTGAATTCCATGGTGCTCATGTTGGCTCAAATAATCGTCCGACTCAAGCAGCCATCTGGCTCAAGTAACCAGTCGGGTTCGACAGAGCCACGCTTGCCGTTATTCGGTCCTCTGGCGTGGATCGACTACTACGGCAAGGGTGCGGTCAACATGAGCAGCGGGGGCAGGAAGCTCAAGGCGAATGGCAGAAACGCCGAGGCGCCAGAGAAGAAGTTCGCGCGTGCGGGCGACAAGGACAACGAAGAGAAGGTGGAAGCAGAAGATGCAGGAATGCAGAGAAAGACCGCAGAGGATGAGGTCGACGAGGAAGTGGAGGAGGCGAGGCGAGGCGAGGCGCGCGAGGCGAGCGCGCGATGTCGGTCCGGCGGGGCTGGCCCTACGAAGGCAGCGCGGAGGGCTGGGGCACTCACGTGTCGCGAACCGGAGTCGGAGTCGGAGGGGCGATGGGCGAGCAGGAGCGTGGGTCGGGGGCTTGCAAGCGATGCAATTCTGGGTTAAGCCAGCCGCCCATCCTTGCAGCTTCGTTGAGGTTCAGCAGAGAGGGTCACGTAACAAGTTTCCCCCCTCTGGGCAAGAGCTATCCCACTCATTCTTCGCATAGCCAAGAGAGAGAATGTGCGAACATATTTTTTTAATCCGGATGTAGTACAGCTCATTCAACCCACATTCTCCGTGACTGAGGGGGGCAAGATCGGTCCGCCCCTGTTTCGCCGCGCGCGTTGCGAAAAAAAATGTCAAAAAACGGTCTGGACGGGCCGAATCTTCCAACTCGCCGGGATGTTCCGGCATCGGAGAAACGATCGCCAAAGTCGGAAAAATGGGTGCGGAAGTCGGAGAAGTGCTGCGCGAAACTCGAAACGCGGGGGCCAAAGCTGGAGTCGGGGAGACGACAGCAGGAAACGGCAAGATGGGTACCGGAGTCGGAAAAATTAGGAGACCCTGGCGGCAGGAGCAGGAGCCGGAGCCTGCCGCCATTTAGGCGTCTGATAGCGGAGGAGGACAAGGCATCGGACATGAAGAGCATGATGACGAAAATGATGAAGATGATGAAGGGCACGATGACGGACGAAAAAGACACAAAGAAGGAGGTCAAAAAATGGCCAAAGTCGTCGCGCAGCAGGCGAAGCACGCTGCGAGCATGGCAGAGAAAGCAGTGGAGAAGGTCATATAGTCGGTTGAGGGAATCCGGGAGGAGGCGGGGAAGCTAAAGGAGACCACAATCAAAGAAGAAGAGTTGCCACACATGGTGAAAGACGAGCTCCCAGAGTTGTTGAAGGACATCATAAAGAACGAGGGGCTGGAAACTCCAATGGCATCGCGCTGGGGTGGCAGGGGATGGGAAAAGGAGCAAAATCCGAGAAACAGCGTTCGAGAACCATATACTTCGGCAATTTCCCCGAAGACACGAGAGGAGGCGTCATCGCACAGCATTTGGAGGAGTGGGCTGGGGAGGTGAAGGAGGAGGCGGAAGAGGTATGCGCGTTTGGTAAATTTGCCACGCGGGGGGCCGTGCGGTTTAAGACGGAGGAGTCGATGTGGATGTTTTTTGACAGCGCGGCGGGCAAGAAGCATTTCCACGCCAGGGGGGAGACGATCTATGCGAACCCGCATGGGCTCCGCGACCCAAACCCAAAGACCACGGCGGTCCAGAAGGTTGTGGGAGCCATCATCGAGAACGGAGGGGGAAGGGCACCGACGCGAAGAAGCAGATTGACACTAACCACTCCAAGGGCAGGGTGCGGTGGAAGGACAGGCGCGTGGCGGAGCGGGTGAAGGGGGAGGGCAAAATGAAGCTGATGGGCGAGGCAGAGGGCCAGGACGAGGACGGGGAGAAGATGGAGATAGAGCGGTGCGTCGATGACGCCAGGGGGCGCGGCCAAAGAGGGGGGGTGCCTGCGACGCCTCGTGCCTGCCACGCCCGGAGCCAATGAGCGAAGGAGGGGGGCAAAGGCAGCTATGCCAAGGCCGGTGGGGGCGCGCCGCACAGTGTGTTGAACAAGCTGGCGCCGGCGGCGAGCAAAGATGCGCGTGAGAAACCGAGTGCGAGCTGGAAGTGGAAAGCAATGTGTTGGGATGTTTTTTGGGAGGGCGGACGGTATCATAGAGGACATGGTCGAATTGCTGGACATGGAATGCACATGGGATCTTGTTTTATGTCAGGAGACCATTACTAGAAAGACGATTATTATGTGAATGTTGGCACTGGGCATGCCGTGTTTGTTGGCGCGTGCAGAGATTGGAACCGCAGCGTGTGCAGTGTAGTCAACAGAAGATGGATCGAGGCCGGAGTCAGCCACAAAGTCTATGCGGCGGGAAGGCAAGTCCATGCTTGGACATGGAAGCGCCAGGCATAAGATTGCGCCTCCTGACATGAAAAATATGACGACGCGTTGCGAGAGGTGGGCAAAGCGGTCGACGAGGGCAAACGGAACAATGCCTCAACGTCTTGGGGGTGGAGGCAACCGCCGTCATTTGGAACCGAACACTCACGGATGACCCGACCTTTACAAGTGCTTTCGGCTTGGAGCTAAGATGCCCTAGAGGCGACATACTAGCAGCGTGGCTCCATGGGATGAAACTCTCGGCCATCACGACTTTCACGTGTAAAGAATTTCACGAAGCCTAGACGCATAGACGTTGGAGCACTCGGCGGAAAAAACAGATCGATTAGATCTTCATTGACGGAATCGCTAAATATTCCCCCAAAAAATGTGAGAATCATTGATACGTTAGAAAGAAATTCTGACCACCGTGCATGTTCCGCAAGCTTTTCTTTCACGGGCAGGCCAACCAGGAGACGCAGGCACCAGCTCTTGACGAGGCCGGGCAGCCGGCGCAGTGCCACGAAGCTGTGGACGCCCAGCTCCAGCGGCGGATGCGCACCGAGGACCCCGCGGACTTGATCGCAGAGGCTGCTTCAAAACCAGGAAAACCCAGGAGCGACGGGAAGGCCCAGGTCACAGCTCGACTACAGAAGAACTTCTGAAAGCGAGATAACAAGAGCAAGGCCCAGACAGACGGCGAGACTTGTCAGAACAGGCATGGCGATCTCTGCGGCGAGAGGGCGGCACCGACAAGAGCACGAGCTGGAAGTTTTGATGATGGGGATTGGAGCATTGCGCAAACTGGAACATCGGCACGAAGATTGGGACACACGATTGAAAATTGCCCACGCTTCGCGTATCCCCGCCAGGGTATGCCCCGGCGTCGGACGCATCCGGCCTCCGCACGGGCAGCGTGGCAGGCGTTGAGTGGGGGTGGCTGTCCACCATACACATGGTGACTGGCTTCGTCGAATGAGCGGTCCGCATCGAGTGGTTCAGCCTTCCGCGGTCCAAATTCGTTCGGCTCTTCTCGGCACAGCCACAGCCCCAGCCCTCGCCAGGACATCGCATCGTTGTGCCCCCGGACCGCGTGAGTCGGATACGATGTAAGTGCACTGGCTACCAGCTGGTGGTTGCCAGCCTTGTGCGCGCACACCAGTGGTCCTTTATTGGATGGTGCCCCGCCATCCCTCAGTGACACCGGTGCTCAGCGGCCGGCCGCGCCCCCCTCCTGCCTGAGTTTCGCCCTGGTTCGTCGCTGACCCGGTCATGGCTCTACCACAAGGACGTCTCGGCCCGCCGTCAGCACGCCGCCTACGTGCGTTACGGCCAGCAGCTCGGTAGCCGCCAGCCATCGGCTCCCCACTGGCGTCGGTGTACTCGGCTTCCGCCCGGGCTGCGTGACAGGTGTGGATTGGGTGCGGCCGTCAGCCATACATTCGGTGACACCCGATGTCTGGCTTCGCCAGGGAGTGGCCCTGCATCGAGTGGTTCAGCCTTCTGCAGTTCGTGGTCGCTCCCCTAGCAGAACAGTCTGCTACCAGCCCCCGTCAATACATTGCATCGTTTTGCCCCCGAACCGCGAAAGTCGGATACGATGTGCACGCACTGGCTACAGGCTGGAGGTGGCTCAAACTCGTGAACGCACACCAGTGGTCTTCCTCTACTGGATGGCGCTATGACGGGTTTCAGCTACACCTCTGCTTCAGTGAGCCATGATGAGTCAGGCCCCCTTTTTTGCCGCACCATCGTTTACTCGTTGTGCTGCAGTGAGCCTTCGGTTGTCGCTCGCTTTTGCCCCCTCCCCCTCCCCCCTGCTGTGGTCTTGGGCGGCCCGTTTCTGTGTGCACACTCGTTGGCTTCGCTTGGCCAGAGGCCATTCGGACCCTCGTTCTGCCTGCAGCTTACAGTGACGCGCCGTCCGTCCTGGCCTCGCCTCCGAATGTGGTTCGGCTGGAGCTTGGCGCCGAAAGGGCGACTTCTCCCCCCCGTTCCGCCGCCGGTCGCCGCGCCTGCGTCCCCACCTGCCGGGATGTCTGGGCTGGTCACCTGCCGACGCAGTATGCGTCTCAATGAGGGTCATTTTGTCACTGGCACGTGCGTACGCCTCTGAGGCCAATTTACTTCGTTCCGCGCCCCGGACGTTGAGCCCGCTCCCTGTCCCTCGCCTTGGAGCCGCGAACCCAAAAAAGTATCCCCGCCAGGGGCTCCGGAGGACCTGGCTCTGAGTGGTTCAGCCCCCTGTACAGCCTGTGGTTTTCTCCCGCGCACCGTCTCGGCCGCCTGCGGGCCTATCCGCTTCAGGTGCCGGACTCGGTGCGCCTTGGTTGCCGCTGGCCCCCCCTGGCTGGGTGGAGGATTCTGAGGACAGAGCGCTGAGTGGTTCAGCCTTCCACGCTCGCGCAGCCTCGTGTTTTCCACCGCGCTCTGCCCGGTTTCACCGTACAGTAGTTCGGCGTGGGCAGGTGGCCTGGAGTCTGGCGCCGAACCGGCGACTCACTCCGCTGTCTTCGCACACTCTGCAGCTCGTTTACTTCGGTTCACGCTGCTGCGCCTATGTGCGTTTGTTGTGAATTTAGTTAATTTTGTTCTGTGCATGTGCAACTGCGCGCTTGCTTTGCAGGTGCGAACTGGCTTGCCGACATTGGCGGCTGTGTTCGCAAATTCGCACCGTGCCGCATCCCGGACGCCGCTTCCGCTCACTGACCGTTGCCTGGGAGCCGCCGACCAAAAAAAAGTATCCCCGCCAGTTCTCGGACCTTGACACGCCGTCGGCGCGCTCGCCTGTGGCTGGCAACAAAAAGTATCCCCGCCAGCCCATCCCAAAACAACACATGTTGTGACGCACACCGACGGTCGTGCCTTCGGGCGTCTCCGCCTGCTCTCGCATATCTCCTCCTCTTCCGCCCACTTCCGCACTTTCTGTTATACATTATTGTGGGGGCAGTGGGAGGAGGACGAGGAGGAGCAGGAAGAGTAGAAGGAGGAGGAGGAGGAGGAGGAGCAGGAGAAGGAGAAGCGGAGGATGAGGAATGGGAGGAGGACGGGGCGGAGGAGGAAGAAAGGCAGTGGGAGGAGAGAGGAACAAAAAATACGACGATGAGGATGGCCAGGACAACGATGTCGCCTCCGACGACGACGAAGACAAAGACGACGACGACAACGACGAAGTCAACCATGAAGGCGTTTCTGAGTTTGTTGCTCTTGGGGGAGATGTTGCAGGTCTCAGGACCCTTTTGGGGTCCTCGTGGTGCCTCTTGGGACACCCTTGGGGCTCTCTTGGGGGGTCTTGGGGCCCTCTTGGGGCTCTGTGGGGGTGCTGGGAGGTCTATTGGGACCATCTTGGAGGCCACGGCTCAAAAAGGAGCGCGGCGTCAAGTGTTCACGCTTCGTGTATCCCCGCCAGCTTGCCTGGGGTCCGCCGACCACTCGGTCCGCCCCACCACGTGGGTAGCGTTCCCCTCTGCTCCCCCAGCGGGTTCCGACACCTCGGTCGTCCTGCCGGTCTTGGCGATCCGGACTCCCGTCCGTCGAGCGCCTGCATGCCTGCTGGCCTTCTCACTGGTGATGACGCGCGGCTGACTGCTTTCAGTCTGCTTACGACGTGCCTGTCCCACGGCGCGAACTGCTGATCGGTCGTCGCCACTCACTCCTTCCGCCGCCACCCACATTGGCTTCGACGCACCTGAAAGCTTGCTCTCCTTGCTGGGATGCATTGCCCTTGCCGCGCTCAGCCCCCCGCGTGCTGCCCCTCGTACAGACGCAGGCGCTTGCGGCTTCCGCTATAACCCGCGGGGTTGCCCCACGCCGCAGTCACGGGACACCACACTGCCAGCTAATTACCCGCCACTTTGGCGTGCACCTCCGGCGGTTACTAGCTGCCGATGGCACCCCCTCCGTGAGCGCCGCGCGGCCCGCCCCGGCTTGTCTCACCTCCCGCTGTTCTCTTGTCGTTGTCTCTCTTCTCCTCTCTCTCGTGTGCAATTTAGGCTGCTGCTTGTCAGCTGTAGCTCTGGACGGCGCGCGGTACTTTCGTTTGCGCTCGCGAACAAAAAATCCCCGCCAGCCCATCCCAAAACAGCACATGTTGCGACGCACACCGACGGTCGCGACTTTCGGGCGTGTCTCCTCCTGCTCTCGCATATCTCCTTCTCTTCCGCCCACCTCCTATCACTTACTGTTCTACAGTTTTGTGGGTTAGTGGGAGGAGGGGGCCACGAAGCGCTGTACTGATGCAGACACCGCCACTGGGTCCTTCGGTGGTGCCCCCTTTCTGGGGCCACGAAACGTTGTACTGGGTGGGGGAAGACGCATGCGGACACCGCCACTGGGGCCTTCGGTGGAGCTCCTTATGGGTCGGTCCACGAAACGTCGTACTGTGCAGGGGAAATGCATGCGGACGCAGCCGCTGGGGCCTGCCTTCGGTGGAGCCCCCTATGGGGCTTCGAAACGTGTGAGGGGTGTGCCAAAGTGGACGGGAGGCAGCATGTGAACGCAGCTACTGGGGCCTTGGTTGGAGCTCCCCATGGGGCCACGAAACGTGTGAGGGGTGTGCCAAAATGGTCAGGAGCCGGCATGTGAATGCAGCCAGTAGGGCTTTCGGTGGAGTTCCCAATGTGGCCACGAAACGTGTGAGGGGTGTGCCAAAGTGAACAAGAGGCGGCATGTGAACGCAGCCAATAGGGCTTTCGGTGGAGTTCCCGGTGGCCCAAAGTGAAGAAGAGGCGGCATGCGAACGCAGCCACTGGGGCCTTGGGTGGAGCTCCCTATGAGGCCACGAAGCGTGTGCGGGGTGCGCCAAACTGTACAGGAGGCGGCATGTACACGCAGCCACTGGGGCCTGAGGTGTAGCTCCCTATGCGGCCACGAAACGTGTGACGGGAGTGCCAACGTGAGGGGGTGACGGGAGGAGGAGGGAGGAGGAGGAGGAGGAGGAGGAGGAGGAGGAGGAGGAGGAGAGGGAGGAGGAGAAAGAGGAGGAGGACGCGGGGCACCGTCTCTTCAAAACGAGGACCCAACAACAAAGGATGGTTTGGAACAACAAACAAACAGCTTTGAAGACCCACCCCCTTCGCAACCAACATCAGCTGCGAAAAGGAGGAGGCAGCTTCCGAAGCCCCCCACTTTGAAAGAGAAGCCAGGGCTAGCCTTGCGCTCCGGAAAAGGAGGGAGGGGGGGGTAGCTTTGAACCCCCCCCTGGGCACTGCAATCTCAGCTGCGAAAGGGGGGGGGAAGCTTCCGAAGCCCCCCCCCCTTGAGAGGTAAGCCCGGGCTAGCATTGGGCTCCAGAAAAGGAAAGGGGAATGGGGGGGTAGCTGTGAAGCCCCCCCCCCCTTGGCACGGCAATCTCAGCTGCGAAGAGGACGGGGGGGTAGCTTCCGAAGCCCCCTCCCCGCTTGAAAGGGAAACCCAGGCTGACCTTTGGCCCCGAAAAAGAAGGGAGGGAGCTTAGCTCCCAAGCCCCCGCCCTCCTTTAGCTAGGGCCCCCCTGGCTCCGAAATGTCAACAAAATTGGGGGAGGGGGGGGTAACTTCGGACCCCCCCTTTTTTCCAAAGAGAGGGGGTAGCTTGAAGCTGGGGCCCCCCTTGTAGTGAGAATTGCGCCACAAGCGCGCTCTTTCATATGTGTTTACATGGCTTGCTTGCGAAAACCATTCAAAGTATATGCTTCATACGAACTGCCACATGGTTTCCTCACCCAAACCATCAGAATATGTTTCATCTGTGTTTTCACACGCGTTTCTGCCTGACACGCTGCCTGTGGAGAGAGGAAGAGGATTTGGAGGATGAATCTCGTTTAACCGATCCCCATCCCCAGCGGCGTGGCCTGGGCCCCACTGGCCGATTTACCCCCCTAGATGGGGATATAGGTCGTCCTCCTCGGGCTTCGAGGGGTGTATCCCCAACTGGGGTGGTAATTAGGTGGGGGTCTCGAAGGGGATGGGGATGGGGATGGGGATCGGGTAAACGATACTGAGAGGAGGAGGAAACAGTGGAGGAGGAGGTGGAGGAGGAGGACAAGGCGGCAGAGGAGACGGATGAGGAGGAGAGGTGTTGCGGAGGCCGTGGGGGATAGGAGGGGGAGGAGGAGGGCAACACGTTAGGAGAAAACGATGAGCGAATGCTTGGTTGTCTTGGTGGTCTTGGGATTGCTGGGGGTGGGTGCGACCACTTGTGCGCACACATGTACGTCTGTATGTACACGTACACTCGCCGGGCCTGGTCCCAGGATCAGCCTGGCCGGGATCGGCGAGGTGGATGGCGGATGTCTGCCCCCCGAAACAAGCTGCTGCTCCTCGTCGGCATCGCAGTCGTCGCCGTCGCAGGGGGCCCCGATGGCCTGCGAGGGCGGCTGCGGCGCCTCCGCGGTCATCGCAGAGGCCGCGGTGCGGAAGCCCCTCCCCCGCTCGGGCCAAAATCGTTTCCGACGGGGGGGGGAGGAGGGTAGGAAGAATAAGGGATGCGATATCGCGTGGGGTAGGGAAGGTCATCATGCGGCCACAAGCGCTGCGCGGCGTAGGTAGACGTCATGGCACAGGCACGCTGCGATGTCCAGAGAGGGACCGAGGAAAAAAGAGGCAAAGGATGCTGACGAAAGTAAAAGGCACTGCGCTTGTGCCAAAAGATGAAGCACATGATGATGAGGATCAGGACGAGAATGAGGATGAGGACAGTGAGGATATGGAAAAAGAAAACGCGACAGCAAGGTTAAATGAACGATAATAATTGTGCGACGCCTCGTGTCGACCCGAAGGCATCAACAACAATCCAAAAGGCCGATGGCCCCCCTAAAGCTCCAAGATAAGCCACAGTCCTCGAGAAACCCAAATAATCCCCGAGAGGCCCCGAGAAGCATCGAAGAGGCGCGCCAGGGCTTCCGGCGAAGCCTGCAGAGGCCCTCAGACGTAAATGTCCTCAGCAATCCCTGAGGGCAGGACCAGACAGCTAACAGTTTAGCTGGTGTGGGCGGCAGCCGCCGCAGCCTTCCAAGCCGCCCCCCGCTCCCGAACACGTGCTACTAGGAGCGCTTACATGCCTGACGTTTGAGGCAGGGCGTCGAGCCCTCGAGGAGCTGTCTGACCTCAGGAGGCGGTAGACGAGTGGCAGCACACTGCAGATAGGCTGCCCCACGGCGCGAGACTATGAGCCTGAAGATGATCAGTGTGCTTTGCTTCATTCTTTCGCAACTCAAGCGGCCTCTGGTAGGCTTCAGAAGGGCCCAGGAAGCCCCCAAGACGGCCCAATGCGGCCCTGAAAGGGGCCAAATACCGCCCCAGGACCCCCCAAGATGGCCACACACTGCCCCAAGAGAAGAAAGGCTCCAACACAACTCCAGGACCCGCCCAGACGGCGCCACGACGGTTCAACCAGGGCTCGTTACGAGAGCTCGGTCGAGCCATCGCGCCCAAGACGGCCCCGAGACCACCAACACAACATGCCCCCAAAGATCCAGATTACCCTGGCGAAGGACCCAATCATATGCAGTTGTGAGTAACGCAATTGTAGCTATCGTCTTCGGTGGAGCTCCCCATGGGGCCACGAAACGTGTGAGGGGTGTGCTGACATGGGCGCGGTGCTGTCATGCGATCGCAGCCACTGGGGCCTTCGGTGGAGCTCCCTATGGGGCCACGAAACGTGTGAGGGGTGTGCCAACATGGGTGCGGTGCTGTCATGCGATCGCAGCCACTGGGGCCTTCGGTGGAGCTCCCCATGGGGCCACGAAACGTGTGAGGGGTGTGCCAACATGGGCGCGGTGGTGCCATGCGATCGCAGCCACTGGGGCCTTCGGTGGAGCTCCCCATCGGGCTGCGAAACGTGTGATGTGTGTGTGTGCCGAAATGGGTGGCGATGATGGTGACGATGACGGCGATGATTATGACGAAGACGATGACAATGACAATGACGATGACGATGACGATGACGATCGACGATCGACGATGACGATGACGATGACAATGACGATGATGATGATGATGATGATGATGATGATGATAATGTTGATGATGTTGATGATGCTGATGCTGATGCTGATGATGATGATGATGTATTCGATGATGATGATGATGATGATGATGATGATGATGAGGATGATGAGGATGATGATGCTGATGATGCTGCTGATGATGATGATCGTAGCAGGGAGGAGGGGGAGGAGGAAGGAGGGAGACGCGGGGCGCTGTCTCTTCAAAACGAGGACCCGCAAACACAAGATGGCAGGAAAAACAGCCCCTGATAATCCCCCTACGAATCTCCGAAACGCAACTCAACAACCATGGAACGGAACAACTGCACCACTGCCACGCCATAGCACTGGAGATCCTTTCCAGATGGCCCGACGATAGATATTCGGAGCCTGTTCGGAGAACTCGGTAGAATTACAGATATTCATTATGCTAGAATGGTCCTCGGATGAGGAACGAAGCGCTTTAGGGGGCATCAGTTGCACCCAGATGCACGAGAAACGGTGATGTTGACCTGGTCCCGATTTTCGCCCGTACCCGGTACAGTCGAAATGCATGTGCGGCGCAGTACCGCACATGCATTCCAATATCGCGCCGGCACTGTGGCTGGCTTTGCCGCTGGCAGTCTCATGCTGTCAGTTGACGTCCCGCGCCGCGGAGATTAACACGAGGCTCAACGCCCCGCAGGACAGCGAGGGAGATTCCGCCATATTCCGCCATACGGTACGAAGGCAACGAGCAGGGAAGCATGAGAACGTGAGCACGACGCCAAGAAAAGCAGAGGTAGACAGACAGTCATCGGAACCGCGCGAAGAGGGATACAGTACCGCAGTGGGCGACGGGGGCCAGGGCAAACGCGAGAAAGAGGAGCAGAGCTCTTCAAGATTGGTCACAAGGCAGAACGTTCAACAAAATCGTGACCTGACCGGCCCGGCATCCCCCGACCGTCCGGAGAACTGCGGCAGGAGCAGGAAAACAGGAGAACGGAGAACGAGGGGAAGCCGGGGATGCGGGAACGGCACACGACAGGAACGACTCTGGACGCTCGGCTTGGACAGCGGCATCGTGCTTCGGCGCTCTCGGAGCAGCTGGACACCGACGAAGCGGAGGCCCTGCAGCTCTCGGACTCGCGGTCGCCGCTGCAGCTGCCGCCGCAATCGCCACGCCGCATCTGCCGCCACCGTTGTCGAGTCGCCGTCCCCGGAGACGACAGACGAGGGCAGTCCTCCATCTCTGGAGATGGGGTGGCGTCCAGACGCCTGGCGAGGACGGCCGCTGCTACACGGAGGGGAGCCGCGAGGGGACGGAGCCGGGAAGACGGGGAGCGATCGGCGGAGGCGCGCCAGGGCGGGGGTGTGGAGAAGAGGAGGTCGGGCGAGAAAGCGGACGCGAAAGGGAGGAGGAGGGCGAAGAGGGCGGCGGAAGGAGGGAGAGAAAGGGGTGGGCAGCGGGGGGCGAGAGGAGAGGCGGGGTAGGAGACGACGGAAGCGAGGTACAGAGCAGTGGGGAGGCCAGAGGGGAACGCAGGGCAGGGGGAGCAGCGGGAAGAGGCTTCCACCCGACTATCATAACTACATTGCGACACATCGCCCTCACTTCCCCCCCCCTCTCCCCGCCCCTTCCTCCCACTCGTTTCGTCAGGAATGCGAAGCCTCTGCGTCCTCCTCACGCACCCGCCGCCCTCCTCCTCTACCTTTTCACGCACAGTCAGACTCATACCTACTCAGACCCACTGGCAAACTCATTCATTCAGACTCTTACTCGCACCCCTACGGCTGCAACTCGGACCACACACGAACACTCAAGTCCAATGGTAGTGAGGCACACTGATACGCAGACCCACTCCAGAAGGTTTCCAATCTGAGCACTCGCATTCAGACGCAACCATTTTCGTACTCACGTTCAAACCTAGACACGCTGTCATTCGCACTCATATCCACTAGCACGCGCTCCCCATACTCTGATTCGCACGTGATCACCTCGACATTCCAGGCACTGCACCTGAGCGCCCCAAGGGGAGGCACAAAGGATTAAATCACTGGCCCGTTCGCGCTCAGATTGTGGGGATGTCTCGAGCGAGGCGCTCGGTTGGAGTCCCCGACTCGGGTCCTTTGAAAGACTGGTACTCATAGCATTTGAGATCCCCAGGGGGAAGCCGCCAGTGGTAAGATATTCCCCCGTTCACGGCCAGATGGCGGGGTTGTCTCGAATGAGGCGCTCGGTTGGACTCCCCAGGTCCTGTTTGCTGAGAGCGCCATGCGGCTGAGGCTGCGGCTGGGACCGGCGTTCGCCGGAACGCACCCTGCGCGGGTTGCCGCAGCGCCGAATGTCGCAATCCCAATTTCTCAATTGCTTAGCTGCTGGCTATGTCGCCCCAAACTATGCGCAATTCCAGACCCTTGAACACAATTTTGCACTTGCTGATGATGTCGTCTGTCCAGCGTTTCAGCGGCCGGCCTGAAGCCCGGCGCCCGGCGGACGTACACTCCAGCGCCGCCTCCGACCACCTGCCATGGGCGCTGTTGGTGGTATTCTGCAGCCAGACGGTTTTTCAATTCTTGTGCACGTGCACCAAAATCGGCAAGCCAGCTTTGTCGAACCTCCGCGATGCTTTCCGGGTTGCGCGGCAGATCCAATCCACGCACTTCTCGTCCACTCCGTGCGCAGAGACCGCTCTCATCGGTGGCGTCGCAATCGTTATCCGAAGCACGTTGTGCAATTCAGTTACAAGCTTGGTCTCGCCGCCAGCGTGGGCCCGCTCCGGCGTCGGATACCTGATGATGCCACGGCGCCGAACACGCGAATCTGGGGCCGCAAGACAGAATGCCTGCTGCACAGCGGTATCTGGAATTTTCCGAAAACACCTCACCCTTTCGCAATGCGTCTCTGCACTTCTACGCCGCTAAGAGCCCAGGAACACATTGCGCGGCCAAGGTAAGGAAGGCTACCATCCAATGGGGGGACCTCGACAGTGCCATCCCCGACTTGCACGTGAGCTTGCGCAAGACTGTTTCGGCCAGTCGGCAATGTTTGAACACATGTGTCTCCCCCTTGCGCAATTGTGGCTCCTCCAGCGCCCATCGACGAGACTTTCAACGCGCACCGCACACGCGCACGCGTACCGTCAATCGAAGCTCTGTCATCCGCGAACCAACGAATCGCGAGACGTTCGCTTCCCGCTTTCAACCCGAAGCCGTTTTTCCCACGTTCCTGTTTGGGACCGCGCATTGCTGGATCGATCAAAGCATTAAATCAAAATGGGGTAGATCAGAACCTCATTTTGATGACGACACGCCTCGTGCGATCTGACCAAATCAAACTTGTCTGTTCAATTTACAATTCGCGTAACACCCGGACATGGGGGTCAGGAGCGCCGCGCTCGCTCAGGGACGCCCGCAATGACGCGTCGCTGGCAGAACCCGGCGCTTTCTCGACATCCAGTGCAGCTATCCAGATAT